GTTGTTCAGCCCGTGAGGTTATATGTATGTTGATTGGTTGATGTTAGGAAAATGTCTAATGAATGATTGATAGCTGAGTGACAGGAATGTGTGGAATTGGATTAGTTAAGAAATATGTAGTGATTTAAGCTTTTAGAAGGACAAGCAATTCTGATGAAGACAGACTACCAGGGACAGGTCAAGATTAGTCAAGGCATACAGACAGACTGCCAGGAACAGGATACAAAACGGCCTGCAAAGGTTGAGGATTGTAGACACCCCCAGAGGGATTGAGCTCCAACACAACAGAATTGGTACAGTGTCATCTCACCTTTCCAACAAGAGAACCGAATACCTGCTTTAGTAGGGGGAGCTCTACTGAAGAAAGACTGATTGATTTCAGCAGTGTATGTGTAACAGTGTGTGTGAAAACACATGCTGGTGCATGTGAATTCTAGTGGTAGTTGACTGAAAGTGTGTGTTCTCTAGGTACATTTGTATACTTCTGAGTTTAGAAGCTTGAGTGGTGGTTGTAATTTTGACCTTGGTCTGATCATAGTAGTGATAAATAGAATGCTTGCAGATTCCTGTGTTTAAGTCTGACACTAAATCAGTGCTGAGGTTGTCTGCCTGGCAAGTGGGTGGTTATATTTGGCTGTTTACTTGCCAGCTTTGGCCAAAACTTGCTGTTGCTTTGCCTAGTTTTTGTGATCAGGTATATTCATTATTATTGGTTTGAAGTCTACTGACCTTTATACATACATACATATACATACTCTGTTACACAACTACATACACATATATATATAGTTGTTAATATGGATGAAATTGTATGGTCCTTCTATACTTGCATATAGTTACTGTTTGCCTTTGTTGCTGAGTTTTCCACAATATACTCACTGTTTGGCTCATGAATTCTAAGTAAATCTGTCCTTCTTATCAGACAATCCTCTATAGAAGCCAGTTGGACAACCTAGCCTTGGACACTTGTTCATCAGAACCAATGTTAGCTGGCCAGGCTTCAGAGCCTAATTAGCATTAATTAGCCCTTCTGTGGCCAACAACATATCCTAAAATTATTCAGAAACTTGATACAATGAGTTATCATTTCCATTGTATTCTTTGGTGTAACCTGGTGTCTAGAAATACTCATTGCTCACCACTCTTAAGATGCAGCAAGGGAAAAGATGACATTATGTGGTACTGTGAAGGACATTATGGGGCATCAGTTTTTTTATCTGATTCATGGGGTTCAAACCACATACATTAGGAAAGAGCTCAATTTCATGTTTATGGAGCTAAACTTTGATCTTCCTGAAGACCTACAGCAGTCTTAGTGAAGTTAATGAATAAGTGACAGCAGAATTCACAAGTACCATGTGCTGTTAAAAAAATGAGTCCAAGAGGGCAAGTGTGTGTGAAGATCTTACTCACGTAGTATGATCATTTGGTGGCCTGCATTTTTCTTCCCCTGGATGGACACTGGCTCCTCTTCCAAGGCTCCACTGGAATGTATTAGATGTATAGACCGAAACAATTGCTGCTGCCACTTCTGTTGCCAATTGATACCATTCACATAGGCCTTTGTCTTCAAAATCACAAAAAATCATGGCTTTAAATGTAAAAAAGTAAATAATATAGATTTAAAAATGAGGGGAAAATCAGGGTACGGTGAACAATGTATATACAAAAAAGAAGTCGCATTTAACAAAGATTTATGCAATATCAACAAGTGCATTTTTCTCTACTTTTTTTTTATATCATTGATACAGAATTGTATGATTGGCTAGAGACCAGATTCCAACTCCAGGAGCAAAACATTTAAACTGTCATTTGCTTTGGTATCCACTCTCTTATTACATCATTAACTAATGGGACTAACCATTTCACCTGGAGGTATCATATGCCAAGAAGACAGAGAAGAACACATTTCTGAATGAAATGTCCTGCTGTCATTATATGCCTTGGGGCCACCACTGAACTACCGTCTTATTTGGCAAGTATCCAGCAGCCTGTGCCTTATCATCTGATTCTTTCCTGAAGACTGCAAGCAGTGAATGTGTCCCTGTGTCCCAGGCATGTCTCTCTGCAAGAGTACGTGGCCTTTCCCATTACTTTGGGAATTAATCAACTGCAGCATAACTTCCTACACGCTTTACAGAAACTCCCAGTTGTCCTGGAACCTAGCAGAATTCATCCTGGACCACACAAGCCTTTAGAACAGTTATAGTCAGCCTGAAGGTCAAAGAGACTTTTGTGAGGATTTTAAGAGGAATGAATGAAAATTCATTCCTGAGGGTAACACTTTGGGTAACCTGAGGTTACCCAAAGTGTGCTAACCTGCACACTTTGGGTAACCTCAGTATGACTAAGGTATGCTGGGCAAGTAGAACACATACTAATGCGTCCTCTCTAGAGATCAGAAATGAGGATAATGAAACAGCAGGGAGGGACTAGCAAAGCAGTTTAGATGTATTCATTTTAAAAGTCCCAGTAAGAAAGCTAGCCACAACCAGTAAGCCTGCCTAATTATCCAGAAGAGGATTCATGATGCTAGCTGAAAATGATAAGTGGCACACTCTAAAGTGCCCATGCATATTTTTCCTGTTTTATATGTTTCATAAATATTATGTTTTAAAGTGTGCCTAATGGTGGATTACACCCTCATGTGCACAGATTATTGCCCACAGTCAGGATATACATCATGCCTATTGCAATGGCATCATTCAAACAATGAATTGCAGTCATTGCTACAGTGATTGCAGCCTTCAGACTCTAGACAGCTGACTAAGGAGTATTTTCCATAGTGTTTATCCCACCCCAAGGAGATGAAGGATGATTTGGGAGATTACATGAAATTGTAAGCAATCCTGCTCTATCCAGTGTGATCTACTCTTTGCTGAAGTTTCATTTCAGTGTGGTCTCCTAAATGACTAGAATCAGATGGATACTGCAAGGAATTGCATATCTGAGCTTATAAATCATTTCTGTTTCCTCCATGTGTTCACTTACTGTGAATACTCAGGGCTAAACACACAAAGGAATTTGGGCAACGCAATGCTGAACACTGCAACCTTTGAAGCACCCTTCTGCTAAATGTAATCATCAACTGTGTCAGTGCTCAATAAATTGCATGAGAAAGGTAAGTGGCCAAAGGTAGGGATCTGCCTCAACCAGCTTCCAGGAAATGCCAAAGAGATTGCTGAGGCTTCAGCCCCACCTCTCTAGTCTTCCAGGTGATTGCTTTAACTACCAGGCTAAATAACTACTCACATTCTGATCCAACAAACACTAAATTACTTTAAACTAAGTAAAGTAGCTTCAACAAGACAGCCTGAGACTCACCTCAGAATATCCTGTATCCCAGTGTGGGAGATCCAACTTCAAAACCCTGCTCTAAAATCATGCAGAGAAGGGATTTGAACTTCTGCTCCTCCCAGATTCCAGAATATGTGCTTTAATCACTAGATCCTAGATGCAACTACATCATTACTTTTCCTCCCTGTTTGGCACAAGACTGAACCAGTAGGTATGCTCTGAGAATGCCTAACAGACTAGGCCCCAAAGTTTATATAAGTGGGAAAATGCCTAATTTGTAAATCATGTTGGGACTTAGGCACTGGCCAATTCAGTGCCCTCAGGATTTGGATGGTTACATAGTAGAAATTTAGGCTACACCATACTTTACTGATGGGTATTTAGGAACATCTCCAAGATTAGGTGGTAGAGGAGTGGACATCTTGAGTATCTTTCTTTTTTTTTTTTTGCATAAGAACCAAAGGTAGAAGGTGGGTACTTAAGTTTTTGCAGATCCTAACTCTCAGTGGACACATCTACGCATTCATTAATGTGCCTTTGCTACTGCACATTAAGTTTAATACCTCTAATATGCAGTACTAGATAAAGGCACAATAGCTGCACCAGTTCACAGTAACCAAGGCAAACATTTTTTGTGATGCTTACTGTGCAGTAGACTAATTTTCTACTGTGCATTAGCGCATAAGCATGGTTTTTGCTGTGGTGCGCACAAGTGTGGTAGAACAGTCCACTATGCATTGAGGCATCTTGTGTAGATACACCCAAGTGGTTAATATTTTAAGGCAACACATTTTTATTTTGGCCACCATATTTTTCATTCATACACATGTGCACAAACACATACAAGACTTCACTTTGGAAACATTCACACTCATCTGAACAGGAACAAGAAACCAACATGTGACTTATCTAATCAATCATAATTATATTTGTCTATTCATAATTAACTTGTGTAGGAAAAATATACGATGTTAAAATATAACTGTACATAAAGTTGAAGAAAATTATACTGCAGGATACTCTATACACATAAAAATAAATCAGATGGTCATTTATTTGTACTGGGATAGTGCCATAATATTTGAATATTCAATGCTGAACAAACATGTAGACCACGGTAAAAATTGTTCTGATTGTTGCATCAGAAAATTTTGTTTGAAATTTTCTATGGGAATGTGCTGATTTCAATTATATATCATTTATGGAAAAAAGTGAGACAGCGTTTCAATACCTTTTGGGAAAGAACAGAACACTTTTTTCACTTTGAGACAACTTTTTATTGTCAAAATGGTTATATAGTTTGAAAGATAATATTTAAGGAGTCAAAATCAAAAGAAAAGGTTCTCAAGTAATAGACCAGTTCTACCAAGGTGCAAATTTAAAGCATAAAAGGGGTATGTTGATTTTAATCTTGATAAGAGCTTAGGTCTGATGCTGGCCAGTGTTCTGATGTGGCCTCTGCCACTGTCACAGCTTTACCCTGCTGCTGCTGCTTCCTGCCCCACCCTGTCTAGCTGTTGCACAGGTACAGATCCTCACCATGCAGCCTCAGTGCAGGTGTGAGCAAAGCCCTCCACTGCCAGAAGGCTGCTGAAACCCGTCAGCTCTGCAGGCCACATCCAGTGGCTCCGTGAGCAGAATCTGGCCTTCAGGTCATATGCTGCCAATCCTGCCTTAGTTTATATTTTCTTAATCTTTGGCCTCTGACAGTTAGCTTCATGCCTAAGAGAAATGAGCATTAATTCCTTATTTATTTAGTGTGAGGATCTATATTTATTTTTAAAAAATAAAAAAATAAAATTGAGTGATGGAAGTTTTTCTTTTGAGTAATAAATTGGAAGGTCACTTTGCATCTATGAGTCTAGAACAGACTCCAGAGCCATAGCACAACATTTTAACTGCTTTGCCAACTTGCCCTTAAAAAATATTTAAAATGATGAGATAGCACAATACAATTATTAGTTTACTCACCACAAGATGATTCATCAGACTCATCGGAGCAGTCAGGTCTGAAATCACATTTCTGTATCCTCTGTATGCAGTGGCCAGTGGCTCTGCAGACAAATTCCTTCTCTGTGCAGTTGTTTGTAGGGAGTGTTGGCGGAATACGTGTTCCAGAGGGTGTTGTTGAGGCTGTTGGCAAATTCCCTAAAGACAACATATTTAAAAATGATGGTATATATATATTTTGGTTTCTACAACTTGTTTCTGGAATAGTCTCCTACCTAAATCTCCAACCTTCTTGTCTAACTGTGGTCTGATCCTTGTCTAATCTCTAAAGAACAAGAAATACTTTATTGTCTCTAAATACCATATTTTAATATCACCTCTGAGAACTTAAACATCTGAAGATTTAGTAAGGAGGTCTCTCTGACTAATGGATAGATGAATGATATAATAAACTTATCTAGTCTTTACCAACCAACAGGCAAGCTGTCTTTTAGCCAATCATGAGGGCAGATTGGGAACTTTTCAATATAAGAGTTTTTCACCATGAAATTCTGATCTCTTGAAACCATTGTTCTCAATGAAATGTTATTAGAACCATTAGAATGGATTGAAAATAAAGACAAAGAGAGACCAGAGTACACAGTGTGGACATGGAAGAGTCAGGCTCAAGACTACTGAATTCAGACACAGCAACCTGGGACACCTAACCAAAAAGCTCTTGGCTACTCTACTGTGCAATCTCTGGAACTGGATGCTATTATTATTATTATAGTTTGGTTTGGCTTTCTTTTTGCAAGAAAATTGAAAGGTCCTGATTTCTCTGAGTGGGACAATTTTTAAAATATCTATATTTTTCTTTTACAGGATAAAAAAACTGTTTCTCTGCACCCTGTCTATATACAGCACTTTAGGATATTTCTTTTCTTTCTATTTCAATTATTCTTAATGTTGTCTATCTTTAGCTTCTGCCATCTCTTCCTGTGAGCTCAGTATTCTAATATTATTAAAGCTAAGTCTGTCTGTCTGTAACAATTTATTTGTGCTCTGATTGGCTGATGGAAACAGCCAATCAGAGTGTTCCAAGCATGGGAGAGCACTGCCATGATTCCAAAGCCACCCTGAGGACTGGACAGAGGGTGGGGGAGCACTGCTGGCCTCGGCTCCCCCACCTTGGTCCCTGAAAGAGGCAGAACAGCGGCAGAATGGGGCATTAGGTGGCGGCACTCCATCCCGGCCCCCCTCCCCTGCCTTGCCCCCCGTCATTCTTGATGGGTAGTTGGCTAGTTGTGTGTATAAATGTCTTCTCCTTTGAACTCTGAGGTTTAAAATAGCCTTATATCCTTCTGTTGCCCTATTTATTGTTGTATATTATTGAAAATATTTGGGGTCTTTTCTGTTCCATTTAATTCCTCCTCATTTCCCAAGTACCAATGCAGAAATTTGAATGTTAATTTTGTAAGTTACATGGCATACAGTTTGTCTGGAAGATGCTAAAATAAATGTGTATAGTATAATATTTAGATTTGGCAAAATGGAAGGAAATTAACAGACAGACAGTATCCACTATATTTGTATAGGCCCTATTAATTTTCCTGCAAGTCATTTCTGCAGTGCTCATACTAAATCTGCTTACTATTTTTAAAAAGCCTGATAAGAGATTAATTCTGAGAAAATCATATTGTGCTTGCTCTGATTATAAATTAGTTGTCAAACCATATACATCATGACATTGTCTGCTACACAGTGCTGGCCCTCCAGAAAGCCTTTTTCTGAGGAAGACTGGCAGGCATAAAATTATACTCATGTCTTGGGATGCAAAGTTTTCAAGGATCTGATACCTTTATATATGTAGACGTTGTACCAAGCTAGATTGCAATGGGTTCTACAGACTGCAATATCATTTGAACCTCTTGTTTATGGTTCAGAATGTTTCATTCTTACATGAAAATGCTGAGGTATTTACTAGAATTAATTTTGCCAAATGGAAGTAGTTCAATATATGTAAACTACTATACATGTGTGGTCTTCCTTCAATACCATGTTACCTAGCCCCTCAAAGTAAAAAGTGGGTCACCCTACTTGGAATTACTTTCTCTTTTCTAACCTTAGATAACAGAACTTCTGTCTTAAATTCTGTTTCAATAACTTGTATGAGGATAAGGGTTATAATACCTTGCTAATGGGGTTAGGGAAACTGGAAAATAAGTTTGGGTTTGATTGTTAGACAGTGAGTCATGGTTTGAGCTGGTTTTGTTTTCTCAGGACAAGTCCCTCCATTAACAACTTTAACACAAAGGAATCATTTACACGTTTCAGGATTTTCAGGGTTAAAAGACTTATAGTTCATTTCTAATGTTGTTCCCACCGTTGTAAAGGATACAGTCCTTAAAAGACAAGTCATCAATTCCAATGTCTCCAGTGAAACCGTCCCCTACAGTACCCTCCACCAAGATCTGGAGAAACAGTAATTACAAAACCACTCGTCAGCATATAGTAGGCTTCTACTTATAATTCAATATTTAATATCATTTTATAGAAGGCCATTTACTATGTTTCACATGTTTAAAATGAGCTTACATTTGTTCATGTGGATATACTGTAGTTGATGAGACTTTATGAAACAGAATAATCATTATCAACTCTCCCTGGTGTTCACATTCATCACAGTGAACTATGACATTAGAGTGGTCAGCCAAACAGGCATGTAAATCCAGTGAACCATGATTATGATGTAAAATGATGGCACAACATCATATAAAGTGGCACACTATGATTAGCTTCTTTGGTACTTAGAATAATAACCTTTATACTTTTGTATTAGTCCCCTTGTGAGGCATATCATGAGAGGCCACAGATACAGTCTAGCAAGATTTAAGGAAAAAATATTTTACTAATTCATTAAAATTGCAGATTTTTCATACATTTTCTGTCTACTTATTGTTTACTGCCAAGGCTTATTTGGGAATAAGTCAAAAGAATTTTCCTCCAATTATGGAATAAATTTCTCAATTGATTCAAAATGATCAAAACCTTTTGCCAACTTCAGAATGGTATGATTACAGGATCATACCTTAAATATTCTAAATTTAAGTATTTTTTTAAATTCTCTTTTACTGAACAGCTTTCTTAAACTACTACTTTTAAATATTTCTTTTAACAAATATTAAAGTGTTTTCCGATTGCCCAGCAGGGTATTAATCCTTGCCCTGCCGCCACCCTGCTCCTGGGAGGCAGTGGTGCTCCGTCTCCACCTACCCGTGTGTTGTTCCCATCTGCTCCCCACCATGTCCGGCTACCCGGGGTACTTTGATTTAAAAAGGTTGAAAACCCCTGGCATAGAAGCTTCCAGTCAGCACCATTCTTAGGCCATCCAAAATACTGAAGACAGCCATGATATAGGTTTTGTCACACTTAATATTTGATTTTCTTTACCCTATATAAGAAAATCTAAAAAGAGCAGTAAGCCAAAAAAACTACCCACTTGGTTAATTACATGAAATTAACACTATCCAAAGTGGTAAAAGACAGACCACAATATATAAGAAACCTACAGACCAACATACATATCTGCACAGAACCAGCAATCACCCTAAACACACAAAGAAAGCTGTAATATACAGCCAAGCCCCCAAATACCACCAAATTTGTACTGAGAACACCTGCAATCATCACCTCACAAATCTCAAAAGGACTTTCACTCAACAAGGACACTCTTCAAGAGAGAGAGATCGCACTTTTGAAAGAGCCACCCAGATACCATGTGAAGAATTGCTGCAGTACAGAAGGAAAACATGCATGACTCACATACCGCTGGTGATGACATATCATCCCTCCCTGGAACCCATTCAGAAAATCACCAAATAATTGCAACCCATACTAGAAGATCACCCAATTCTTAAAGGGATCTTCCAGAGCCACCCATCCTAGCCTTGAAACAAGCACCGAACCTTGCTAATCTCATCACCAGAAGCAAGCTTCCTACAGCCCAAAACACACCAAATGGATCCAGACCATGCCACGACAAGAAATTTAATAGATTTCATAGACATTAGGGCTGGAAGGGACCTCGGAAGATCATCGAGTCCAGCCCCCTGCCCAAAGGGCAGGAAGTCAGCTGGGGTCACAGGATCCCAGCAAGATAAGCATCCAGTTTGCTCTTGAAGGTGTTCAAAGTAGGCGCTTGAACCACCTCTGGTGGCAGGCTGTTCCAGACCTTGGGGGCTCGGACAGTAAAGAAATTCTTCCTTAT